AAAAATTTGATGAGAACCGCTGTGTGTAGGATACAGTACTTCTATAGGCCCATTGTACGCTTCTCTCTATGGTTACGTATCTTTCAGCTTGTTCCACCTCTCTCAGTCAGTACTTAAAAACGGATAGCTCTTCACTCATCATTCACTGTTGTCTCACATGCATGCTTCCCTGAGATATCTCTTTGTGCTTACACATGGACGCGTGTATCAGTGTTTATTTATAGCGTCCATTGGCAAGGTGCAGAGAGGTGCAGAGGAAATGTCTTCCCTCACTTCTCCGCCACAGTGGGGTTCAGGACACACTGTTCCAGCCCTGGCCAGAATGTAGCCTAAAAATAACCAAGAGAGGAAAACACACCACCCTCACCCTCTCCACCCCTCTCCTCTCCTTCTCTGTCATTTTTCTTGCCTGAAATGACTAACAATCTGCAGAAAGACCACAGGGCCATAACAAGGGGAGAAACACAGCATTTTACACCATCAGCAGCCTGCTTGGGAGGAAGCTTGTTTGTGTTTAAATAAAGTGTATGGCTTAATGTGATGAAGAATTTGTGTATAATGTTGACAAAGCTGTCACCTAACTAAGACTTAGACTCAAACCTAAGTTGTTTGAAGAGGTAAAAACATTTCTGTCTCCCTTCCAAAACATCTCACAGCAACCCTAAACCCCTTGTTCCGTCCCTCTCCACCTATTCCTCGGTCCTCTCGCACACTTCTATCTTTTCCTATTGTGGATCTCAGATCAAAGCCTCAGTTTTCTTTTGTTTTCACATGCACTCTGGGGGGGGGATCAATTGAATGCGTCTGGAAGGTATTGGGTTGGTCCTACAGGTGTCCTGCCTTCTCCCTTTTCTCCACCACAGGCTTTTCATCTGGGCAACAGCACAGTGGCTCGGTAGATTACCAATTTCACGAGAATGGACGGAGCTAAAGGCACACTCTAAAGGATCAGTAGTGAAGAGACAGGGATGTAGAAGGAGAGCTGTAGAAAAGCCACCATAGTGCATATTAGTGTGAAAACATTTCCCCCTATAGAGACACACACACACACACACACACACACACACACACACACACACACACAATTATGAATACAAACATAGGATGTAATGTGATTTCCACCTTCTCACAAGAAATCTTTTGTGTTGTGTAAGCTGCTTTGTAATGCAGAAGCACCTTATCTCTGTCCTTATGCAATTAGGCTGGTGAAACAAAGCCCACAGTAATTAATCATAATATCCCTGACGATACAGTATGTCAGTGCGTCACCTCTGCTCCTGCCGCTTCACACAGCTCTCCCTGAGAGGGCCAAACCATCTGGAGACATCTATACTTCTTACTACGGAGTTTCCCAGTCAGACCCCTGTGCCTGAGTCATACGAAAGATTTATCATAGTAGCATTAAAACCACCAAGAAAAGCACTCTTAATTAGGTGCTTCTCCATGTTTCTTTACATGCGTTTCTTCCTCTCTTTTTTCGTCCGTCGAACAAAATGCAACTCCCTATAACATAAATCATTACATATTAGGTTGAGGACTTTTTTTATGGTTAGGGTAAGTCTCCAGGAAATGAATGTAAGGTAATGTTGGAAATGCAACTGTGTGTGCCTGTATGCACATGAATGTTGACGCCAGGGATTATAGTCACAGAGAAACACTGTCTCTCTCTTGTGTAAGTCTGAGTAAGCCACACACACACACACACACACACACACACACACACACACACACACACACACACACACACACACACCAAAACTCGATTTATCCCACATCCACTATACCGAGCTTAACGGCCCTTCTTCACCTCTAAACCGAGATCAGTGTCAAGTCCGTCTGCTCGGCTCCACACTGCAGTACCAGCAAATACTCAAGCTGGTCTGAGATCAGCACTAGACAGACACAGGCGGGTGATGGACGAGTGGGCTGAGGGTGTGAGGAGTGCTGATGGATGGTGGGAGCGGATAGCGGATGAACCACGGACGTCATTACGCTCGTGGTTCACATATTGTAAGTAGGCTGTGTGGAGGAAAAGAGAAACCTGATGGTTGCACTCAAAATTAATCCTGCTGAGTAAAATTGTGTGTTGCGGAGGATGAAAATACACACAGTAGATATGTAGTGTTTTGTACTCCTCCTTTGCATGTAAGCAAAGGTTTTCTTAATTTTGTTGGCAGCAGAGTGGGCAGCATGTGGGCTGAGAGGATGGAAAAGTTTGAATATTTAGTGGGAATGAATGAGGTCAACACCTAAACAACTGCTAATACTCTGACAGATAGAAAATCAAATTTCTCAAAAAACTCAAAAAAATAAGGAGTCACTTCAACAGTGGTTGTGTTCTCTCTGTCTGGGTTTTTCCTCAAGCTTTTGAATTAATTTAAAAAATCATTAGCTGCTTTTGGGAGTGCACAGATAAATTGATTACCTTTGCATCTGTTTGGAGTCCTAAGAGGCCCTGTAATGTCATGTAATGGTGTTTTGCCAGGGTTGGGGTTAGATAGCGTAGCTTTCATATCCTTTACTGGATCTACTTAAGTGTGGCTTTTATCATTTGAAAGTAACGAAATATGAAAAACTAAAATTCAAAGATTCAGTTTAAATCACTTTTTGTTAGTTGCGGAGGCAGAAGCAGTTTTGAGTTTCAACATGTCAGTGTTCAGCATAATTAATGTAATGTGTATCTGATACACTGAAATACAGCTGTAGCCTATATATTTTGACAACTTTATTTTTTACAAACTACTTGATCCAAATACTTGAAGTCCTGATTCAGAACTATGTTGATGAGCTTCAAATATTGATATGATAATCACTGAAGTTAAACTGGAAGACAGAGATGCTCACAAGTCTTTGAGCTAGAGCCCAATTCACGTCTCAAGTCTTTGAGCTAGAGTCCAAGACATACCTTTGTTATTACCATGGACATAAAGTGATGTTTATTTGCGTTATGTCTGTTTGACCCAGATGCAGCTGCAGACGTAAAGAGACAGGGCAATCAGTTTCCGGTGGACGATCACTTCTCAGCACGACACCTGTGTTTGGCCCCGCACAGCAGATATGGAGCCTAGTGTTACGTAGGCAGGTTATAGGTAACGTAGGGAGGGGAATAACAGAAAGCTCATTGTTCACGAATCCCGCAACTCGAGTCCAAGTCAAGTCTGAAGTCTTTTGAGGACGAGTCTCAAGTCCAGTCTGAAGTCACTGTGTGTGTGAGTCTCCAACTCGAGTCCCCATCTTTGCTGGAAGATTCTGACTTCTGAAACTTATGTGACTCAGATCTGCTGACTGTTTTACAACTAGTGAACTACAAAACTACTAGCAGTAACAGAGTGGTGTTAAGTGAGGCCTCTTTCTCTAACGAATGATATTTGGTGGTGTAGGCCTAATTTAAAAAAATGGCTGAAACTGAGAAGCCTGCCAAAATTACCTAGATGTTTTCTACCTTTCTCTTTGTTCAGAATATAGAGTGAAGACACATAAAATGTTCAATTAGATATTCAACTATCGGAACTCAGCTCTACTGTCACTAGGCTGACCCAGAAGTGGTTGATCAATGTATATGCTATAGTTATAACCAAGATTTGACTGAATGAGAAATGTCTCATTCTTCTAGCATTGTTGCTATTATTTCACTGAGTTGAAATTTAATTAAACTCTGTAAACATTTTTCGTATGTTTGATCCAACATGAATTCTAGCTGTACACAGCTGCACAGCTGTGCTAATGACTATGCTAACATGCTATTTTGCAGGGGTAATGTTTCCCATGTTCACCATCTTAGTTTAGTGTGTTTCCATGCTAATATTTGCTTTTTAGCTCTAAACTCAAAGTATCCCCCTACTCTCCCACTCTGCCTGGTTTCCTCTTCGTTACTGAAAAAGATGAATTCGTACTGTATGCTGCCACCGGCTCAGCACTGGGGGATATGCATCTCTGACACACACACACAGGGAAAAGCTGTGAGTATTAGGGTTGGATTAGGATTAGGATGATGGAAACAATCATTATGCTGAAAATACTGATGATATCAATGCACATATAAACGATGATCATAATTCTATCTGATTAAATGAGTATAATGATACAGTACAGCCTTTTGCACCGACAGTCGGAACCCCTGCTGTTTCTTGGACTTCTCAGGGAACTGATTTCTGTTGTTTAACCAATGGCCTTCAGATTGTTTGGCAAGTGTGATTTAGCTGGCAGAGTTGGAGACAAAAAACCCCCACACACAAATACGGTGGTAGGAGAGCACAAAGTGCACATGAACAAGCCGGCAGCTTGACAATGAGCGAAGCAGACAGATTGTGTGAGAATGAAAAAGAAGAAAGAATGAGGAATTTCAAATAATGGCAGGGGAAAATACTGTTGGGGACGCAGCGTGAGAGTCAGCATGTGATCTAGCTGTCACAGATGTCCACGGTTTGGCTTTTCCCTCCTGATCTGCGGCAGCATCCAAATGTAAATGTCGCTCACGTGAGAGCAGCGTCAGGTGTCCTGTCAGCCATGTCACGCCGAGTGACAATTTGGTAGAGGCGGATTCCAGTTCGGTGGAAGACGACAATGCAGTCGGCATCCACCCAGCAGACTATAAAGAGCCGACCGCTGCAGAACACACAAGATCACGTAGTGACATTTTTTACGGGGGCGCGAGTGTGGGGGCGAACATGAACGCGATTCTGTTTGTCTGTGTTTGTTTGCGCGTCCATACAAGAGAGGCTTGTCAAAATCACTTGGAGGTTGATTGATGATAATTTACATGCACATTCTATGGCTTACTGTTCTCTATTTGTCCCTCCATCTCCCAACCGTTTGTCAGATAACTTGAATAAAACATTAGCCAAATGAAAGATATCATACTATGTGTGTCTTGTGTATTTATCTTTTTCCCTTAGGAAGCAGATTTTGTGGATGAATGCGCTTTATGTGCCTTGAAGAACAAGGTCATGATGTCAGAAATTGTTACTGTAAAACTGTCTTCTCTCTCTCTCTTCTGTCAGTGTGCTGTTTTGTGGTTCACAAACGGTGCCATGAGTTCGTCACCTTCTCCTGTCCTGGAGCCGACAAGGGTCCTGACACAGACGTAAGTTCTTCATACTTTATGCAAGACATCTTTCACTTTCTTCCGTTCAGCTTCTTCAACCGTCTATCGGCAGTATCTGTCTTGTGTGGAGCGTTTCTCTGTTGCTGCATCAGCAACTATTTGCTTCCACACATCAGGCGTGATAACATCGTCCCTCATTAGCCTCCTCTTTTATCCCCAAGCCCATTTGACACTGTCGGGGCAGGTTGGTGGTGTTTTATCAGTGTTGGAGTCTGACCTCTGTGGTCACCTGGGATGCACTATCTCTGTTTGGAGTGCAGTTGTGACCCTGCTGTAACAGTTGAACCTTAGTCTCCTCTTCCCTCCGGCCAGGAATGGGATCTGTCCTTGGTTAGATAAGAGACAGAGAGGTCAAGCAAGGCCGCAGCATTGCACTGATGTTTGTGCACATATGCAGAGGATAAGTCTCCTGTACTGTCCAACCAGTGGTGCTTGTTTCATCTCTACTGTACGACTGCAAATACAAAAAGCTAATTAGTCACTGGTGTTCTCGTGCTCTAGCTTCACCACACTGAAAGACTTACTAATGATTGTTCCCTTGCAACAATTAAGCCAATTAAAACGCACACACACATACAGCACAACCCATATCCTCTCATGTGTACACGAGCAAGAGCGTCAAAATCGCTGCCTTTAATGATTCCACTGTCTTATTTGATTAACTATAAAGACAATACTCCATTTGTTCACTTCCTCCTCACTGTGATTTCCAAGCTCTTCTCATTAAATAACATCAGAAGTTTTTTTATAAAGTGTTCGGAAAAGACAGGAATGCAGTGCAGTTTAGTGAAGCTGTTGCATCCCAGGCAATCAAGAGGGCACTTTTGTTTTACGCCGTGTTTTATCAACTTTTATCAAAACAGTCGCTCTGTATTGGCTTTTCTTCATCTGGCTTCTTTTTTTTTTTAAAGACTCATTAGTCTTGTCTCTCACCTTCCAAGACCCATTGTTCTGTATCAGTCCTGAGCTACCTTATTGTTATTCATCTCCTCAGCTCTATCTGTCCATCTTCCTACCTAACTATTTCTCTCTGTCTTTCTGCTTCTTTCTTTAATCTCTTACTCACACACATACACACACACACCTGCATTGCTGGCTTAAAGTGCCCATTGTGAATTTTGGTCTGCCTGTTTTTGCGCCCATTATCTACCGACCGCCTTTGGGACGGAGTGAATAGCGAGCCCTTTGGGAATGGACCTCTTTAAATTCCAAATTATGATTGATGAAATTACGGCCTAGCTCACACACAAAAATTTCTTTTTAAAGCAAAGCACTTACTTGAATCTGGTCAGTTTTTCTTTTTTTTTTTTTTTTTTTTTTTACACATTTCTCAATTAAAACCATGATTTTTAAAAAACAAAACAAAACTATACACTATACTGTCAACTTGCCTGTGATGCCACCACGTAAACCAATGGATGTGCAATGATACTAACTATAGAGCATGTGTAGCACTACAGTTTATGTAGATTGATTGAAGGCAGGTGTCATTGTAGTATCTTAAGGGCAGCTTTAAAGCTAAAAGGTAAGAAGTTTAAAAGGATAAGGCTGTCTCAAAAAACCCCCAATTAATTAAGTATGCTAATAATCTATCAACTATCAGCTGGACATGTAGTCAAAATGTACATTGAAATGGTTCTATAGCTAAAGAAGATGAGTTAACTGAACTTTCTTACTTTGTAATAAATCACAGCTAAAGATTATACGTTTTCAGGACTCAGTTCTCAGCAAGAGACTAGCTTGGTTTGTTGCCAAAAACACTTACAAACTGTAATAATTTATATTTATAAGTCTTCACAACTTGTAACCTTTTATTTGCGGAAAAAAAGAATATAATATGGTTTTTAAAGTATTTTCACAAGTGTACCCTGTCCATGTCTCCCAGCCCCAAGCTAATTGAGTCATACTGAAGACTAAGAAGAATGTGTACTTTTAAAATACAGATTAAGGTATAAGTACAAGTAATACATAAAGGGATAAGTAGGGTGGAGTAGAGAGTGCAATTGTTTGTTTGTGACAATGTTTTTAGCAGCAGATTATTACATATTTGTAGTATTTGAGTTTTAATGGCAGCAGGATGATGTAGAGCGACTCAAAATAAACTACAGTGCCCATGTTCATTATTGTAATGAATAAACATGTTTCCCAGAGCAACCATTTGGCTCATTGGTGTTTGGATACAATAAAGTTCTATGGCAAAATAATATAAGTCAGGCTTTGGCTGTAATTCATTAATTCATTCTTGGTTTTGATCATTTCATGGCAGTTGTTGTCAATAGGAAAAATATTAAATATCACGACTTATCCTTTAACTGGCACGCACATGTAGCACCACAAGGATCAGTCAATTAATCGATCAGCTGGCCTCATAATGAATAAAGGTGACTCACAAACACCCATCCATCCCTCCTTCACATCATCAATCCATCTACACTCCTCCATCTCTGCCCCTCAGCTTCTGAATCAGTGTGGTGTCATGGCTCTCTGAAACTGGCTTAGGGCTCACACAAACACAAACACACACACACACACACCTTTGCACTGTGGGTTGTGAGTGACCCTCGTGCCAGCCTCGGTGCGCGAATGGCGTCATCTGATGCTTTGATCCGCTCACAGAACCACATGCAGAAGAGTGATAGAGATGTTTGAATTAGCATGCGAGTGAAAAGTGCTCTCTCTCTCTCTTCTCTTTCTGTTTTTCATTCAGCACATTGTGAGGCGTGGGTGGTAAATAGTGCTGTATTATCAGTCAAGGATCACTCTGGAACCAGTGAATGAAGGTGACTCATCCATAGAGAAACAATATAGTTTTCACAATCAGATTACATGATGCATTATAGGCCTAGATCTTTAACCAGATCAAGCCCTTTTAAAATCTTCCTTTTTTCCCCCTTTTTGTAACGTTACTTCATTTCAGTGACAGATTTGGTTGGTGTGACCGAGGAGATTATGCTTGACATGGGTATATTGCTGTTACTCTCCTTGGCAAATCCTCTTTCCAACCATCTGTCTTTTCATTAATAACACTACTGCAGAGCGTGTGCATGTGTTTAGATGATTTTTTTTTTCATCCAGCTCCATGTGTTTCATTTATCACATGTCTTTGCCTTACTGGACATTTTTACATATTTGTGGGATTAAGTAATTGGTGTGTTGTTGTGGATATTTATTATATACAATGTTTAAAAAAACATTTCAAGACTCACTTCTTGCCAAAAAAAAAAAGAATTAAGATTCTGACCCAAGGCTGACCTGTGCATAATATTAAACTCTCAGCAATGTTACATGAACTAAACGACACACTTTGCCAGTTCCAGCAACCAACATGCTTTGGAAAAGGTCAGATTATTAACCCCAATGATTGAATGCATGGGGGAAATCATTATTTTCATTATTAATTAATTTGCTGATTATTACTTACTCAATGAATCTATTAATTGTTTATCTATAAAATGTCAGAAAATACATGCATAACATCTTTAACTATAGCTGTTTTATCGACCAACACTCCAGAAGCCATCCTAATCGATTAATCAATTGTTTCAGCTCTAGTAAAAAGTAGATTTCTAAAAAATGTATATGCAAACTCACAGTGACTTATCTTCATAAGGTAATTTGCTACACTCTAAACACCCTGACATGTTATGGATCATGGTCAAGTTATAGATATTATAAGTAATAAAATAATAAAGTATTAATAAAAAAAAAAATGCATTGATTTAATGAACCAGCTGGTAATTCCCCTGGAAGAATCACAAGCAAGGATTTTTATGAGAACTTGTGTCAACCTGGGGAGTTTGGTAATAAGTTAGTCTTTAATCTCTACCACTGTTGTATACAGTCAGAAGTGCAGTAACGCATTCAGCTTCTCAGTCTAATGTTAGTAGTTCCCTTTCCCATTACCACTGCCCTGATTTTACTGAGAACCACACTGACACACTTGTACAAGTGAGCCTCATTATCAAGTAAGTTTCTACATAAACTACTACAGTCCCTCACCCCTTGACCCCATGTTCCTCATTACAGCAGTCATCAGCGCTCAGGCCTGTTGACTCTGCTGAAACCTACACTGTTGACTTAATTGGTATGACGAGCAGAGTGAAAGGCATCATGTTGCTCCTGTGAAAGTGAGGATATCGGTGAGAAGACGAGAGGGAGAGGGAAGTAAGCAGAGATTTGCAAGGAGAAGATTACTGAATGGCTACATGGTTTATCCCTCTAAACAAAGCTTTATTTCTTATATATGACATTTTCTTATACATTCACACATGTATATAGCGCCTACAGAAGGTAAAAATGGAATCTGTAATCCACTCTCAAATTAGAAACCACCCCCTAAAAATATGAATTTATTCCCACAAATAAAGTATATACCAGAGGTGGGACAAAGTCATTGTTTTACAAGTCACAAGTAAGTCTCAAGTCTTTGCGCTCAAGTCCCAAGTCGAGACCAGTCGAGACATGCAAGTCGGAGTCAAGTCTCAACTCAAGACCAACAAGTCCCAAGTCAAATCTCAAGTCCTAAACTTTCAGTTTCAAGTCCTAAACAAGTCATAATGTGCTCTTCACCAAATTTAACACCATTTCATATTTTTAGTTAAAAATGAAAAGAACTTTGAAAACTGAATAAAGCCATAACCTGTACAGAAAAAAGGCACAGTTTCACACAACAAATGTCATACATTTTTTGAATTAAATGAAGTGTGTGCGCTGCACAGTTTTTCTAATATCATAATTTATATTTGGGCTTGGGGAGGCCTATCAAGTCAGTTGGAGTCAAAAGGCTCAAGTCCAAGTGAACTCACGAGTCATAGATGTTAAAGTCAAAGTCGAGTTGCAAGTCTTTTTTGATTTTTGTCGAGGCTAAAGTCTTCATATTTGTGACTCGAGTCTAACTCGAGTCCAGGTCATGTGACTTGAGTCCACAATGCTGGTATATACTGTTGTTTTATCTTGCAAATATTCTTACAAACTTCCTT